CTAGTTCACTACTGCTCACGTTTCCCTTTTTCTTCCAGGTAACCCATGTCTTTTGTTGTCTTTTTTTTTAAATACAAACAATTTTTTTTTTTTCTCACTTCACTTCTAATTGCTCCAAACAATTGAGACAAATTCATCCCTTGTAAAGTCTGCGCTGCTACAAAAGGGTTAGGGTTAGGGTTTTTGTGAGGTAATGAGCTTAGTAGAAAAGCCATTTTTAGTCTTTCATTCATGAGATTTTGAGTCATGCTCAGCCTTTCAAAGATAGACTGCATTCTCAACAAATGCTCATTAATATCCTCATCTTCTAAAAAACTAGATACAATCAGTTCCCTCAGTAATGAAATAATCTTCTGATCATAATTTTCTAAATATATCGTCCTCAGGTTCTCAATCATTTCTTTGGCAGCAGGAAGATCTTTTATTTCTGCCAGTCTGTGATCAGTAGTGAACTAGAGATTAAAATCATGGCCCTTTTGTTCTTCTGCTCCCATAATCTCTTGGCTTCCTCAGAATCCCCTGGTTGTGGCTGAGGGGAATCTAAACAATCTAGGCTGTCCTGAAAGTCCAATGGTAGCCTTAGTCTGTATAGCCAAGCTGAAAAGTTACCTTCATTCAACTTTGGGATGGGGGAAGCCCCTCCTCCCTCTCCATTGTTAAAAGGAGAGAGAAAGAAAAATAAATCTGAACTGAGCCCTTTTTTTAAAAATGTGCAAGCAGTCTCTTGGCTGTAAGACCAAAGAAACCTCCTGGGCTGATACGCTGGGCCCGTAACCCAGTGTTGGGGGTTGTTGAATGTTAATACAAAACTCATGAGGAGGAGAGAGGATTCAGTCCTACCTCGTGGGGAGCCATGAGGAGAAGAGAAGAAAACGAGGGAAACAGGGAAAAAAGGTGGGATCCAAGCCCCTCCCCCACAAAGCAGAAAAGCTAGGCTGCAGCGAAGCCGCCCTTCCCTTTGTGCTTGTGTGAGACAGGCTTGGTTGAAACCCCATATTTTTCCAGCAGAAACTATGATAAGTTTTAGCACTGTGTGTCCTCGTTTCCGGAACTCTCTTCAGGATGGTTAGCACTTTTTGTTTTTTGTTTTCCTAGATGGCAACCAATCTGCCCTGCTCAATCACACTGCAGCCAGGACCAGAGGACGTCGGAAAGGTGGGTAGGCAGTTTCGTGTCCCTGTTCCGTGGGTTAGCAGAACAGATTTCCAGCAGTGAATTCAGTGACTCCTGGAGGGCCCCTCGACCTTGGAAGTCCCAAGGCTCTAGCTTCTCAGGCTGACTGACTCCCTGGGCTGCAGCACTGGCCTCCATTCTCCCAACCCAACCCAGTTTCCATGGGCCCTGCCTATCTGCTTACCTGGTTCCTTGGCTGGCTCTCCAATTCTAGTTCTGGTTCTCCCCACTTGTCCCAAACTATCATTTTTTTAAAGGTTTCCTAGATGATAAATTCCTTTCCAAGTTTAGTTTTATTTCCTTTCTCTTTCTTCCATGAGCTGTAGTGTCTTTTGGCCAACCACTGCAAATTACAAAAGTCATGAATGAGCAGCTGAGCAACTGCATACAGCTTTCTGGACACCATTTTTGGTTCTGGGTAGCAGATGAAACTCTGATCTCCTTGTCTCTTCTCTAAATGCATTTCATATTCAGCTACTTAGAATCATAGAGGGCTAGTCTTGGAAGGGACAGATCACCTACTCCAGCCCTCTGTGCATTGCAGGAATCCCACTTGAGGATTTAGTGCATCAGTCACTGCATCTGATCCTCCTATGCAAACATGTTCTCCAATCTTCCTGTAGCCCATTTTACACTATGTAAATTTGCAACCTAGAATAAACTGCTCCACAACATGTTGTAGAAATTGTTGGTTTTTAAAGTGCTATAATTCTTCTTCTAGACCTTCTTATTGATAATTATAAACAAAGGAACAATCTGCCCCTAAATCAGCTTGTAACTTCTGCTCTTGTGTTTCCCCCAGTCATGTGGTGTGGACTTTGAGGTTAAAGGATTTTGTGCTAAAAATTTGGAAGAGAAAATTCATAAGAGGTAAAGCCAGCATATTTTAACATTTATTTATATTAAAGCATTGTTTTTCTGCTCTTCAGCTGAAAAAAAATCCCCATAGTTTATTTATTTTCCCCATAGTTTGTTTGTTTGTAATCTGGTGTGCCATTTTTATAAGGTCTGGGATAGAAGTGAAAGGGATAGAAGTGGAATTCTATTTTTTTTAAAATGAAAAAATGAAGAGCATTTTTCTGCTCTTCAGCTGAAAAAAATCCCCATAGTTTGTTTGTTTGTAATCTGGTGTGCCATTTTTATAAGGCCTGGGATAGAAGTGAAAGGGCCCTTGTGAAGCTTGAGGGAGCCCTTGGCAAGTGTCCCCCAACACCCTGTTTCTTCTCTCAACTACTTTCTTCCCCTCATTCTCATTATTCTTTCCTCTTAGCTGTATTAAACCTTCAGAAGGGAGGAAGTAGCCTCTTTATTTCTGTTTCTTATATTTTATGGAAACTCAATGAAGTGAAACTTTTATCTTCACCTATCACTTTAACTTCCATCAACGGCGCTGATTTGGCTAGAACCTTAGTCAGGTCTTTCAGATGAAGTACTTTCCTGAAGTGCAGAAGGTTCAGGACAAAGGCATTGGGGGCTCCACTAGGAAGGTCCACAGACAGTGGATCCTGATGCTCTCAGTGCTGCTTCTCTTTAGTCATATGGTAGAGTTATTCTCCACATTATTTGGTTGAATTATTCTGTTCAGTTGTTACTTATTTTATTTGGTAGTTTGTTTTTTCAATTCCTAATGTGTCTCAAGTGCATGGACTGAGAATTTCTTTCTGCTGTCCCTTTAAATCCAATTGCCCAAACTCATATGAAATACAAAAAGGACAATAGTTTGGTGCACAAATAGAAGAATTCAGAATCATCATAAAGCTACTACTTGGCTTTGGGAAAATAGAATGCATCCTTCTGAAAATATATGGTGGAGAGGAGGTGGTTTGTAACATATCTGCTGTGTGATTGTAATGGAGCATTTGTGAGGTTGGCCCCTCTGCCTCCTCACATGGGAAGTCATAAGCTTATCCTCACAATCCCACCTGTGGCACCTCTCAGAATGCTGGGGATGGCTGCTCCTCAGAATTCCTCTTTGCCCCTTTTCTAAGGAGGAAGAGAGTGGAAAGACCCCTTGCAGTGGCCTGGCTGAGACTATGGATTTCAGAGAAGATACGAGCCATTTGTTAGGTGGATTAAGATTTAGGAGCTAAGAGTTGGAAACCTTGGGATGAAGGGAAGAGGAAGACATTGTGAATCATTGACTTATAGCTGATCTTCCAGGCAGCAGTACAGATCGACACACACAGATGGGTGTCCACAACATGAGGGGTAAAAAAGACAAGATGTAGCACACACGTACAAAAGGTGGGGCTTTGATCACTGTGCTGCAATCATCATCTTGCCTTTTTTGCTACCCCCTACCCATACACCAGTATGTACACAAGTACACGGAACAAAACAGCTCCAATCGATCTATAATATAACTCAAGAAAAGGTTCCTAACTGGCTTCTTGTAATGGTACAGGTAGTCCTCAATTTATGACCACAACTGGGACCGGAATTTCGATCACTAAGCGATGCAGTCGTAAAGTGAGACATCATGTGACCACTTGCTTAGCGATCGCAATCCTGCCAATTCCTCTTGCCGGTGTTAAACAAATTTTAAAGGTCATTAGCTGAGGACCCACCCCAAGCCAAACTATTCCAGGCTTGATCCTGCCCAGCCTCGAGCCTCAGGTAAGGGACTGCCTCCAATTCCCCCCACCCACCTATTTCCTCTGCATCTATGCTCTTTTGGCCCACTGCACCCTGCCTTGTGGGGCAGCAAGCAGCCCCAGAACCACGTGTCTCTGGGGCTGCAAGAAGCCCCTGAGCCGCAGCCTGCCCCAGCAAGCACCAGCAAGCTGCTGCCTTCAGGAAGCACCAGCAAGCATCAGCAAGCATTCATTCACGCAGCTGCTTTCTCTCCCAGTTCCCTGCACCAACCTTTCACCTTTTGCACCCGGCTGCAGTGGCTGGGAAATGCCAGCAAGGGCCAGCAAGCATTTGATTGCCCAGCTGCCTTTGCTGTCTCCTTTTTGGACCCAGCTGCTCCTGAGAATGTTTCCTCCACATGGCTCCCTGGAGAGCTGCCCTTTCTTTGCAGAGCCTTCAGAAAGAAAGGGCAGCTTTCTGAAGGCTGCACAGCCTCTTCACAGGCTCTGTGAAGAGAGGGCAGCTCTCCAAAGGCTCAGGGAGCCATTTGGAGGAAAGGTTCGCAGGAGAAGATGGGTCCAAAAAGGAGACAGCAAAGGCAGCTGGGCGAACGAATGCTTGCTGACGCTTGCTGGCGCTTGCTGGCCACTGTGGCTTGCTGGCGCTTCCTGGGGCAGGCTGGGGCAGCTGAGGCTTCCAGGTGCGGCTACAGCTTTTTGCTGCTCTGCAGCTCAGGGGCTTCTTGCAGCCGCAGAGCTGTGCAGTTCTGGGGCTCCTTGCCACCCTGCAGGTCAGGATGCAGCAGGCCAAAAGAACATGGTTGGGGGGAGATTGGTGGGTGGGGGGAGTTGAAGCACCCCTGCAGTCGTAAGTGCAGGCAAGCTGCCAAGTGCCTGAATTTTGATCATGTGACTGTGGGGGCGCTGCAACGGCCATAACTTTGGACACTGGTCATAAGCATTTTTTTAAGCATGTTCATGACTTCAAATGGTTGCTGAACAAATGGTTGTAAGTCAAGGACTACCTGTATATGGGAATGACCTTGGGAGAGAGGGGGAAGAGCCACAGCCTAGACAATGGTCTGATAAATGAAATTTGAATCCAGAGGAGGAGGGGTGGCGAAAGCGTCTCAGAAGGGACCTCCCTAGTTTTTGGCAGAGTAAAAGTGAAGGAAGGGAGGGGTACTTTCAGACTTGCGAGATTGGTGTCAGCCTTGTGAGGTATCCAGAAAAGAAGCATAACCAGGAGTACTAGCTCTATCTTTATTGTAAGGTTATTTGTGTGTTTGGGGTGTGTGTGTGTGCATGTGCCTTTAAGTCATTGTTGACTCCTGGCAACTGCTTGGACTAGTTCCTGCAGTTTTCTTGGCAAGGTTTTTCTGAAGTGATTTAGCGTTGCCTCCTTCCTAGGGCTGAGAGGGTGTGACAAGGTCACCTAGCTGGCTTTGTGTCTAAGGGGGGACTAGAACTCACTGTCTGCCAGTTTCTAGCCTGATCCCTTAACCACTACACCAAACTGGCTCTCTTATAAGGTTGTAACCTCTCTTGTAAGGTTACATTAACAGAATCTTGCAAGTCTGAAAGTACCCCTACCTTCCTTTACTTTTACTCTCCTAAAAGCTTAGGGAGGGTCCCTTCTGAGATGCTTTGGCCACCCCTCCTCCTTTGGATTCAAATTTCATTGATCAGACTGTTGTGTAGGTTGCAGCTCTTCCTTCTGCCTCCCAAAATCATTCCCATATACCATTACACATCTAGTTCCATTCTTCCCTATGACTATTTTTTCCTTATTCTCCAGGTTGAAGCATTTCTGGGGTGAAAGGGGGCGAAAGGACAAAGATTACATGAAGTGCTTCCATCCTTTTAGAGCCCACCAGGAGGGAGGGAGGGAGAGAGGGATGGGGGGAGGAGAGAGAGAGCACAAGCAAGCAAGCTTCCTGTTCCTGATTGGTTCAACAGGCTTTGATGCTGTCTGCCCCTGACTAGGTTAGCAGGGCTAGCTGTGATTGATTAAGTTTTTCATATCTGAACCTTTGGAGCACAGGGTTCCTCCCTCACAGTTACTTTTTATCATGGTTTAAAAAATTCAGTAAAACTCAAAGAATAATTCATAAGAATGACCTCTCCTGCCTCGTTGTAGCTCTGGAGGGCTCAGCCATTTCATGTGCTTCCAGGAATTCAGTGCGGCTGGTGATCCGGAAGGTCCAGTTTGCCCCTGCCCTGTCAGGCCCAGCACCCAAATCTCAAATAACCAGGCAGTTTATGATGTCAGACAAGCCCCTGCACCTTGAGGCTTCTCTGGATAAGGAGGTCAGTGTCTCTGCCATCTCTCCTCATTTGACCTTGGTGGTGTGCTGGACTTCTCTGCCCTGATGCCACTTGCTGAGGATGACCGCCTGCTTTCCTCCTTGAAGCTCTGCTTTGGCTAATCCTAACGCTTGCAGGATCTCTCTCTTTGCTCCCAGTTTGCTGAAACTGCAGTGAACATGCATGACAGAACATGCATGTTTCACAGATGCTACTTGTCATCATTTTTGTTCTTTTTCTGATTTTACCATGTTGCATTATGATCCCGAGACTGAATTTCTTCTAAACATAGAATGGTGGGGTTGTGGTATAGCATCAAAAGATTAGAAGGGAAAAAAGAAAAATGGTGTAGGTGTTCAACAGCTAAATGGTGCTTCTCTCCAGGATAACTTGATGCTTTTTTTCTATCTGATTTTAGCAACAGACTATTGTGATTTCAGGTTTATTACCATGGGGATCCAATTGGAGTTAATGTGGACATAAACAATACTACCAACAAGATTGTAAAGAAAATTAAAATATCAGGTAAGGAACGAATAAAACAAGCCATGTAAGCAGCCCATTCATCATATTCCCTGATTTGGCCCTCCATCCTTCTCCATCTTCTTCTTTTGACCTTTGGTGTCACCCAGCAATTCTTATGCAGGATTCTCATCTGCTACCCCCAGCCTTGGGATCTAACTGGATCTAGCATCTGACTGAGGATGAAAGGTCAGCCTGAGCAAGAGCAACTGAGTCAAATTTGTGCTCCTGAACTTCAGTTTGCTATTGATTGCTCCGTCCAGGGTCACTTCTTTTATGTTATGTTATGGTCTTAAAACATGGAACTATTTACATGACTTTCCTGGAAATGGTTTAAACTTATTGCACCCCTACTTTAGGATTGGTGATCTCTTATCTTATTGGTTTTATTTTTAGTAATATTTTATCAGACATACACTTTCCATTTCCTATAGGAGCTCAAGTGACTTGCATGTGGATCTCCCTTCATTTTTCTTGCGCAGCAACCCTGTGAGGTAGATGGGGAGAGAGAGTGACTGGCCCAAAGTCATCCAGGGAGTTGTCATGATTGAGGATGGACTTGAAGCTGGACCTCCTTACTCCTAGCCCAACATCTTACCCATTATACCACAGAAGCTCTTTATTTTTTATTTGTAAATAATTAAAGCACCATGGCCCCAAATGAAAGCTGTAATTGGTGGAACCACATGTTTGTAAGGCGTGCTGTAAGACTTGTCTGCTGTAAGAACCGGTTTTCCACAAGGCACTCTGGGCTCATCCAGATAGTCTGCTCACCACTTTCCATTTGTAGAGGACATGTTCTTACAAGGGAGCCTCCATCTCAGAGACAGACTTGGTTGAGGTAGCCTGAGGCAAGCCAAGGTGCCCTGGCTTGAAAGGAGTGTTTTCTCTGGAAGAAAAGCTCCTGTGTGGACATGCAAGTTGTTTGGAGGAGGAGCCTTTGGAAGTTGGGGACGGGTTGGGGTCCAGCTGCAGGACTGCTCCCTCCCAACTGGTTGCTGGGCTCTGGGCCTTTGGGCCAGTTGAGCTAGGGTTGTTGTGGTTGTTATTAATTAAATGAGTATGTCGCTCAATTCCCAACTACTCTGGGTGGTTCACAAGTAAACAATATTAAAAGGAATAAAACAGTATAATAAACAAGAACAAGGAATAAAAGATGACAAACTGGACAGAAGCAAAAACAGACCCACATGCTTAAAGGGGCCTTCAGTCACTCTTGCCAAAGGCCTGGGCGAAGAGCCAGGTCTTCAAGGCCCTTCGAAATACCAACAGGGTGGCAGCAGCAGAATAAGGCAACTGTGGTCCAAGAGAGGTGGTAGCCACAGTGGTGGAGCAGAAAGGCATTGTTCCTTCCTTGCCTTGGCAATGAGGGCAGGAGCCAGCAGTGGTTGGCTGGCATGGAGTTTGAAGGCAGCATCATATGTTCTGTTAACCTCCAGCTGAAACTAGGTGCCTCCCCCCCTTTTCCAGATGTCTAGTAGCCCATCAGGAAGATGGAGGCTGCCCCCTCCCACCTGGCAGTGGTGGAGTATCCCCAGGGAGCAGGCCTTGCTTATGTCTGAGTTCTTCGTGCCATAGAGGAAGGTGCTCCATGTTGCCTGGTCAATTCCCCCTCCTGCTGCAGGCTGGGGAAGAACAGGGAGGAGTGTGAATTAACCAGGCAACATAAAGAGCTCATGCAGTGAGGAGAGGGGGGATTTCAGCAGTTTGGAATGTGAGGGGCACCCTTGCTGAGGCTGCACCCATAGATGTTGAGCTGCTGTGTGGAGGAGTTCAAAGCCAAAAGCAAAAGAAGACTGCAAGTGTGGCTCTTGCAGTCTACAGTGGCTAAAGTTTCAGATCAGGACAAGGGAGTCCAATTTGTACCACTTCGAGGTCTTTCAAAAGCAAAGTGTATAGAATACAAATAAATAAATAACTGCAAATATTTAAAGAGAAAAGCAGTTCAGGAACACACAGCAGAATACCCAGATTTCTTATACTTCTTTTCACTCCTGATGTCTCTAAGGACAGCCCATCTTTTGGGTGGTGGCCATGCTTGGGATTTTTGAGGACTTATCATGGCTACAATAGGGAGCTTGGACAGTAACCGTACAGATGACTCCAAAAATCAGGTGAAGGACTAATTTGTTAAAGTTTCCAGGGATGATGCAACACAATGGACAAAAAAATTCCTACCACATCTCCTGAAAGTCAAAAGTTGAATGAGCAGTTTCAGCCCAGATTCAGAACTCTGGTAATGCCATAAACTTCTGCAGCTCAACTTAAAACATATGTTACAATGCAAACTCTGCTCCTTTTGAGGGTAGTATGAAAGAGTGGGGCCAGTGTCATGGCATGATAAAGTGCCTTCTCATTTCTGTGTGCAAAGCCCTTCTGATTAGGAGGGATACCAATGAGTGATGGAAGAATAAGAAAATGAGAAAACCCATACAGTTTCAGTACAGTAAAAACTTTAGAAATATTCTCCATGGACCCATCATGCTCTTCCCTTTCAGGCTAGGCAACATTATGCAAAGCTCTGAAAAAGACTAAGAAATAGTAAACAAAGGAAGTTAATGACAGATAAAAAGAATAAGAAATATAACCAAATCTACTTTACATCAACACTACTTGTTATATTTCTCCATACCTTTCTCTTCTTGCAAATCATCCTTTCTTCCATCACATCCATACACTGCTCCATATGTTGCCTGTTGCTCATTAACATTTTCACCTATCTGTTTTTTGGGGGATCTCATTAACTCCATCCAACAATGATTCTCTTGGTCTTCCCCTTCCCCTTCTTTCCCATCCATTCACTTTTCCTTCATGTACCTCTTTTGCAATTTAATCATTAATTCATTCTCTCTATACTTCAACATCTTTATTTCATATAGGTTTCTCAAGCTACATTCATTCATAACCCATTCATTCTCAACCCAATCTCTTCTTGTGTTTAGTGCACACACTTCTTAAGTAATCCATTCTCATAGCATTCAAGTTGTTGTTATGCGACACATCAACTCCCTTCCATATAATTCTGCTGGTAAATGACAGGTCTGTTTGTAAATAAGATCTTGTTGTGGAATATCAGATAGACTAGTACCTGGCTGGATGAGGGTGGTGATAGTGTCCTTTTGGAGATCTGACCAGCTGGGTTTTGGGTCCTAGAGCAGTGTAACCCCAGGCCAGGGGAAGGGGTAGGATAGATCTGGTGGGACAGCTTGTTTGTGATCAGGGGAACTGTTCCTGAGGTATTGAGGTATAAGAGTCTACACATCAATTTGGGCTGTAGAAACAAGCTGGGTGTCCTTCTGGTGTATTGGCCACCCTGCTGTCTAGTTGGATCTCTTTCCAGGTTTCTTGAGTTGGTCACCAGGCTAACGTTGGGAACCCTGTGCCTTACAATGCTGAATGACTTCAACATTCATATCCTGGGGGTGCATGTAGGAAAGCCAAAGAGTTTATGGCCTTTGTGAGGACCATAAGCTTGTCCCAAGTAATCTTTAGCCAAACACATTCAGGTAGTCATACATTAGACAACATGGTCAGGTTACTTTCTAGACCCTTTCAATTTAACTGCCATCTAGGTTCTCTGCAAGGATGGACCCTTTAGGAGGGTTCACCAGATCTAGAAGGTTTCTGGATAGCATCCTCCCAGTGATCTGATAAACAGTTTTGCTGGGAGTCTAGTTAGTCTCTGGCACCAGAGGCAACCTGTGTCCTTGATGAAAGAGACAGCTTATCTCTGTCCATGGATCCTGGGGTGTGCCTTGGTTTCATAAGGAATTCTGGAAGATGTAGCATCACAATAGATCATATACTATTCTTCTACCAGAATTTACGTTCTTCACATTTCTCCATTTATTTTCATATCTTTATAAACATTCTACTAAGGTACACCAATTCATCTACTTGATCTAGTTTTTCACCTTTTATGTATAACTTGCAATGTTAACTCCATTTTTCCTGTCAAAAATCTTGGTCTTTGATTTTTCAGATCCATATTCCTCATTGCATCATCATACAATCTAACATTTGTTGCAGATTAACTGGGTTCTCCACCACCAACACAGCATTGTTTGCTTGCAAAAGTACAAACACATTATACACCTCTACCAACATCACAAAGTCCATAAATACACTAGACAACCAAAAGGATATCGTACATCATTGCTTATTTCCCTGCTCAGTGTTGCACCACGTATTGAACATTACATGTATTCTCAGGCACACTTTACTTCCCTCATTAATTGTGCATTGCAACCCTAACCCTAACCCTAACCCTAACCCTACCTTCCTATTAGTGTGACCCATTCCATAATTTAAGCTTAAGCAGTTTATCATACATTTTCTTTGTCCAACTTTCAGAACCTATGAATATGGTTCTGGGAGGAGCATCCATGGATCCTTCACTATTTCTTGTAATCTTTCATTATAAACAGTCACAACAATCGTGCTTTTAGGTGTATTTCTTTGCCACATACATGCATTGTAAACTCACACTTAAATCACATCTTCAAAACAGATCTTTTTCTAAACAGATACTTACCAATCACCATTTGTCAGAACCTGCATCAACCAACAATTGTTAATTTACAAAGGATAGCAGTCAATGGGAGTTTGATTGCTTTGCTTCTGCCAATTGTGACTAGGGAGGGGGGCTAGTAGTTAATGGTTGTAATAGGAGTAGTAAGGGAGATGGTGAGGAGCTTAACCTTATATGGGCAAGGAGGTCAGACCTGATTGCAGGCAAGGTCAGTGGGGGCCTGATGTCCAGGAAGGAGCTATGTATCCTGGGAGGAAGGAAAGAGGTCACCACCAGGTGAAAAGGAATTGAGGCACCAGGGCAACAAGGGGAGGGGGGATAAATAGAGGGAAGTTTACCCAGGCTTTAGTTTTAGCAATGCTTTGTTTCATGCTGCATGTACCTAATAAAGGAGCATTTATCTGAACCGGGCCTGGTTTCATGAGAATTCTTCTGGATCCGGGCTTGGACTTTGTGGACTTGACACCATTCTTATTCACTGTTGGGTATCTGAATGGCCCAATCACTTTTTTTCTGGACTATGATTCATTGCCCACATCCCACCACCTAGAAGGTACATGCAGTGTACTGACACACATCAAGATACAAATTCAAATACATATGAGATATTAAACTGATAGGGACATAGTATACCTGCCTGGTTTGGTAAACTTGTAATATCCATGTAAAATCCTCCCCACTCTTAGAGGACTACCATACTACTGTGTCTCCCTCTTTTTCTCCAGTTGAACAGATCACAGATGTGGTTCTCTTTTCACTGGATAAATATACTAAGATGGTCTGCTCAGAGGAATTCATGTAAGTGGCAAGTTTTTGACTGATGGGAATCAAGAAGTGGAGAGAGTGGTCCATTCACAATAGAATGTATGCTTGGCTCTGGCTAAAATGGTTTGGGTGACAGCAATTGCAAGCAGATCATCTCTGCTTTCTTTTCCGTTTTGGCCCAAAACATGTTTTACATTTTTTATTAATATATTCATGTTTGAAAATGAGACTTTGGATTTTCAGACATTGTTGAAAATGGAATCTTTGTAGCTGCATGTTATATGGAGATGGGCAGGCCCTAATAAAAACCTTGACAATGTAGGGGAAAAGGTCACTCCCTGACTGGGGGTGGGGCATTTTTTTTCCTGGAAAAAATCGAGGAAATGATTGTTTAAGAGATCTGATAATTCAGAAGCTAATTGCTCAATTCGGCGGAATTTGGAAGAACTCCAGTGAATTCAGGAAAGGAGGTATCATTGCTGCTTCATATAGAAGTCACATGAAATTGTCTCTATTGATGCATGTGAGGAGCCTGTCCCTCTTGCCTTTTCCAGTGCATATTCATACAGTAAAGCTTCCTACCTTGCACATGTACAAGGTGCCCACAGAATGGGGAAGTATAGGCATGTAAGTAACACGTTACTTGATTAAAGTCTATTTCTGTTCTGGGGAAAAATTCTTTTTTTCATCAGTTCCAAGCTATGGTACAGTATATAGTTTTCATTAGCATCAGAGCCCACCAGATTCTTATACACTGATCTAGTCTTGCCTTTTTTATAGTGAGAATGTGGCTGCAAACTCCACCTTCTCCAAAACCTACGCTGTGACTCCTGTTTTATCAAAGAATCGTGAGAAGCGTGGCTTGGCTCTGGATGGCAAGCTTAAGCATGAGGACACCAATCTGGCTTCCACAACTATGTAAGAGGAAACATCTTCTTCCCCATCACCACCTCTTGCTATTATCACCACTTCCAACATTTCCCATTCTTTCTTCTTAGTCTGAGGCCTGGGATGGACAAAGAGGTTCTTGGCATTCTGGTTTCCTACAGAGTGAAAGTCAACTTGGTGGTATCGAGAGGAGGGTGAGCCTTTTTTTTACAAGAACTCAGTGAAAGAGTCACCTTTGGATTCTGCCCCAATGTGATTGGCTGCTGTCTTGTTCCCCATCTGCCCCTTCCCCACACCTTTTCTTGGAGCTCAAACCCCAACTTACATGGGGACCTGTCTTGGCCATTACTTAGTGGGGTTGAGTTTCCACGGCTGAGAGTAGACTTGAGCTGGGAGCTCCCCAGCCCTCGTCCAGTAGCCTAACCGATACCACAGGCTGCAGTCACACAGCTCCTGGCCTGTTCTTGCCTAGAACTGTGATTCTGTTTCATTTGTATTACCTGCTAGATCAAGCACAGGCTGCCTTTGGTTTCAAAGTTTATCACAATTTATATATAGCTACTAACAATGTGATATGACATTAAAATTAAAGGAGAAAAAGTTGTGGAAAATTATCCTCATAAACCAAACTATTCCATAACTTTAGACTAAATTGCTTGAGAGTGCTCTTCCCTGTCCATTGGCTAAAAACAAACAAACCCTAATTCAAATACTGATTCACAGCCTATGGCTGCAAAGCTGCTATAGATCTGTCCTTTCAGAATTGTATGATAATTATTTTGGCTACTCCCTTACTTTAAATGTCTATAGTCATTGAGGTCTTGATCGATTCAAAACCCACATCAGCTGGCTTTGGCTGATCGTGAAAAAACTACGCTGAGTTAGATGGTCTTAGGATTCAGAAGGGAGACCCACAGGACATACCAGGGGTATAGACTAGACTGGGAAGTAGATAAAACATCCCTGAAGAAGACAGTGGTAAATCAGTTTATATGTTGCTAGCCCACAACCCAAAACAGGTCAGAAAGTGACTAGGGATCAAGCAAACTCATGAAAGACTTTACCCTTTTTTTCAATAGATTCCAAGTACTGAAGCCTGCATGCTAAGACAAAGTTAGGCATCCTTACCATGCATTGATTTGTCAAAGGTTGTAGGGATTTCAGCCCCCTTGGTTTAATGCTTCTAGCATGTTAAAAATTTATAGACTGGAATAATTGGAGAACTGTCATTCAAGGAAGTTGTAACAATTCAGCCTGTTTCCACAATTCCTTTGTGCTTAAATTGGACATAAATTGGAGATCTGGAGGCTGAACACCAGCTATTTACTGACAGGAAACAGCAACTCACCTTTCACATCTATGGACTGTTCTTTGTGTTGTTCTCAATATTGAGCATCTCTTCTTTCCACAGCATCCTGGGAGATCTCACATCAAGGTAAGTACTGATTTATTGATCAGTAAATCAGTTTATTTCCTATTGTATTGAAAAGGTGCATGACTTAAGCTTTAAGAACTGTGTGCTCTGATTGAGTGCCATTATACTACAAGTACTTTGAAGTTGGTGGGATATTGGAATGCCAGTAAGTTCGCTTTCAGTGTAGTCTCTAGAGTAGAAATCTTGCTTGCATGGAATGGTGTGAACACGCTTGGTTTTGATTGCGATTAGGGATTACTGGTCAGAATGTGCCAAAATGTGTCATTACTGTCCTTACCATTATCAGGGAATACTACACATGGCATAAGTACAGTTAAGGCTGGTGACCTAGTTTACGCTTTCCTCTTACTAAAAAACATTATGTGAAAGCTTTGATTGACCAAACCCATGATGGCTGGTGGAGTTCAATCTCTATAGGCCCATCTGCTGACAACCATGGTGTAGGAAAAATTGCAGCTTAGAATAAGAGGAGTAAATGAAATAGAGTATGAATGAATGAGTACAAGGAAACAAAGAATACTAGATACGTTGTGCCTATGAAACTAAGAAAAAGGATTAAAAAATATTAGAATGAAAGTGGTTTAATTTTGTGGAGTGGAGTTGATGAATACATGAAGTGAAAGTGTAGGTTTAATTATAAATATGATTGAGACAAGAGTACAGAAAAAGTGATGGGCCCATTTGGAGATCCAAAAATGAATGAGAAGGGTGACTAGTGAATATCTGCTTAGAACGGTCTGTTTCAAATATGTGGTTTAACCATAAGTATGTTCATCTGTACCCAGGGCAAAAGACTAGACATCTAATAACATGACTGATGTGATTTTTTTTTGATAAAATATTGAGGGAATTAATAAAGGATGCAAGGCTGGTGAGAAGTTCTGAATCTGGGACAATCATATTTTGCCGGTAAAAGTGGAACTTGGTGAAAAAATGGACATAGAAGAAAAAGGATGAAATGATAGAAATGAGAGTGAAAACAGAATGATTACAGGAAGAGAAATACAGGTCCTTTATGAAAAAAATATTAGAAGATTAATCTCCTAACAGAATAAAAGGATAATAGACACAGGGAAAAAGCATGTGGAATCTGCTTGGAACAGAGTGAAAAGAATGATGTTACAGAGCACTACAGAAGTGTTCGTAGTTAGTGGGAAATATGGAAAAGGTTGCCTGGTGGAACGATGAAGTGAAAAGAGCTGTGGGTAAGAAAAATGGATAGAAGAGAATAAGATGACAGAAAGATAATGTGAGGATACAGAAAAAGGCAGTTGCAAAGAATGTAGAGCGAGGAATGTTGAATAAAAGGTAGAGAAAATGCAGAGTGATTCTGATGGAAATGGATGAAGAAGGCTAAGCAAGGAGACCCAGCAGGGTGTATGGGATTAAAAATAAAAATGGTAGGATGGTTTTGGACGAAACTGAAGTAAGGGAATAGTAGAGGGACTATTTTAGATTCTTGCATGGGAATGATAGTGATGTGTTAACAAGCAGGATCAAAATTAACATGTTAGTATCCAAGAAAAAAATAATGAAAGGAGTAAGAGTATCAGAATAAATACCACAACTGGATAAATGCTAAAAAATGGATGTGATATGCTTTTGTGCAACTTTTTAAACTTAGGTTTTAGGTTCCATCTATGTTTGAAGATTGGAAGAATGCAGTCACTGTTCTGTTACAGAAGGAGAAAAGTAGCAACAGCGAATGCAGAAATATAGGCGGTACATTTATTAAGTGTATAAGGGAAGGTATTGGCAGAAATCCAATGTAATTGGTATGAGAAGTGTCAACAAGCAGTTTGGGAAGTCAGCATGGCTTTATGCCTCATTGGGATGTGCAGACCAGACATTTTCCCTTCAGCAGGTCATTGTCAAAGACATAAATGTGAGAAAGAAAGGATACTGTATTTATGTTGATTTGGAAAAATGTATGATAACATGAATATAGGTAGTCCTCACTTACTGACTATTTGTTCAATGACTGACAATACTGAAAAAGGAGACCAGTCCTTGAAGTTGCAGCTGCACAGCATTCCCTTGGTCATGTGATTGCAATTTAGGTGCTTGGCAACCTGCTTGCAATTATGATGGTTGCAACGTCCTGTGGTCATGTGATGGCCATTTGCGACCTTCACAACCAGCTTCTGACAAGCAAAGTCAGTGGGGAAGCTGGCAGGAAGTCATAAGTCATGGTCACATGACATCACACTTATTGGCTGCGGGTGATTCGCTTAATGACAGCAGCCATAACTGCTATCGTACGTTGGGTGTGGTCATGTGATTTTTCACTTTATGACATCGCTTAGCGACAGAGTTGCCAGTCTCAACCACAGCTGGTAAGTGGGCACTACCTGTAAGTTGGAAGTATGAATGAGTACATGATTGTAAATGCAGCAGGAGATCAAGATCATGTGAGAATATTTTCTATACCATCATAATCACCAAGGTTGGATTCCCCATAGTTAGAATCAATGAAAATTGAAATATAAAACTCAGAAACTTAAGAAAAAAAATATTACTGAAACCTAGACAGGTAGGATGATCCTTACAGAGATGTGCCTATCTGGTGTTTGGATGCTCCATCAGCTGTGACTCCAGCATGGAAGGGGCAGAGTAGCAATAGTAATTCAGGAGACCCTACAGATAGCCAGAAGTGTTGTTCCACAGAAGACAGGGTGTGAGGCCTTATGTGTGAGTTTGAGCCATAGCTACAAGCTGGGGGGTGTTGCTGTTGCTCTACTGGAGTTGCTCAACTCACTGTGAGATTGATGCTATGATTCCATGGAATCATAAGGTGGAAAGGGACTTTGGAGGTATTCCAGTCCAACCCCCAGTCCAGGGCAGGAATCCTTAAATCATCCCAAACAGCTGTCTAGCCTTTGCTTGAAAACATCCATAGAATCATAAAATCGTAGGGTTGGAAGGGACCTTGGAGGTCTTCTAGCCCAACCCCCTGCCCAAGACAGGAGTCCTCATACCATCTCAGGCAAATGGTTGTCCAATCTTTTCTTGAAAATCTCCAGCAATGGAGCACCCACAACTCTGGGAGGCAAGCTGTTCCACTGCTTAATAGTTCCCACTGTCAG